TGATAGGTCAAAGAATCGAGGTAAGTGTTGTAAACTAGGGGGCACTTAGCAAGGCCTGTTCATTTGGATTCCTCTGGGTCTCCTTCCATCTTGGAGATAAGGATGTTCCTTTTGTCCTGATATAAGGAAGCCACCTCTGCATTAGGGTGTGTGTGTGTGTGTGTGTGATCACATCTTCTTTATCCATTCATTCATCAATGGACATTTCAATTGATTCTATATTTTGGCTATTGGAAAGAATGTTGCCGTGGACATAGGATGGCATATATCTTTTCTTTTTTAACATTTTAATTATAATGTACATTCATTCTTATTTTATATTAGTTTTTTCTGGGCTCTGTATTCCGTTGCATTCATCTATGTGGCTATTTTTATGCCACTATCATACTGTTTTGATTATTATAGCTTTGTACTATCGTTTAAAATCAGGGAGTATGATGTTTTGTTCTTTTTTCTCAAGATTTCTTTGGTTGTTTGAGATCTTTCTTGGTTCCATACAAAATTCCAATGGCATTTTTTACAAAAATAGAACAACCCTACATTTTTTACTGAACCGAGAAAGGTCTCACATCAGGTTGTGTCGGCAGCAAACGGGCACCTGATGTTAGACTGGTGAGGCCAGATAGGACCTGGTTCAGCAACCTCAGTACCTGAGTTCTGGCTAGGAAAGAATTCAGAGGCAACCCTCAAACTATCGGACAACATTTATTTAGAAAGTCACAGAGGCAGAAGAAGTGAGTCACAGAAGAAATGAGTTTAGGGAACAAGTTACAGAGACAAAAGAAAGGCCCCCGGAGCTTAGGAGAAGAGGCAAGGAAAACGCCCCTGAGGATATTTATCGGGAGGATCCCAATAGAATATTCGTCACCTTTCATGGCGTGTCCTTTCAGGGTTGTGGCCTCTACTGATTGGTCGGCACCAGGGCGGGGGGGGGGGGGGGGTCATTAGTCAGTGCAGCTGGTCCTGAGGTCAGCCATAGCATCGCTTATTTGGTTTTGCTGCTTTTCTGGGCCTGGCGCTGAAACACAACTGAGGCCTAGATGTATGTGATTTGGGTCCGAACCTCATTGTCCTGGGGGCTTACTGCTTAAGGCCGATCCTCTGCCCTCCTTGCTCATTTCCCCTCTAAGGGGGTCTAACCCGTGTGACTAGCAACATGCCAGGGGAGGAAATGTCAGGGGAGGGTCCGAGCCCCATGACCCGCGATATGAAAGGTCAGGAGGGTCTAAACCACATGACCCAGCCCTGGCCAGTTTGGCTCAGCGGTTAGAGCGTCGGCCCACGGACCAGAGAGACCCTGGTTCGGTTCCCGCTAAGGGCACGTACCTCGGTTGTGGTTCGTCCCCTGCCCTGGTTGAGGTCATGTGGGTGGCAGCCACTCGAAGTGTCTCTCTCACATCGATGTTTCTCTCTCTCTCTTCCTCCCTCTCTCCCTCCTGCTCTCTCTGAAGATAAATGCAAAAATGTTCTCTGATGAGGATTAAAAAATAAATAAAATAAAATAAACCACATGACTCAGTGATGTGCTAGGGGAAGAAAGGATATCCTGGGGGTGAGATCCTTGTTTTCCCAGTTTTGCCCGTTGCTAGGCACCTGGGTTTCCCCTTCTGGTGGCCTTTCATCTCTGCTCTGCTCATGTCTGCCTGGCTGTCTACCACCGTAGTTACCGAGAATACGGGATATAATGCAAGGAAAAAATATATCTTAAAATGGTAAAGTCCTATACAAAAGCAAATTGTTGATGGGAGAATTATTTGAATTATTAGATTATAAGTGTCTTCAGAGTCTGAATTAGACTCGAATGATCATTTTATTCATCATGCTGCTTAGCACAGTACTAACCAGTATCTTGTATTTAGTGGCTGCTGAAAAAAATAAAATGAAATCAGAATGTTGTAACTGATATAAAAGAATGAAAAGAGATGGCGTCTAGTTCTTTTTTACCTGCTGTCCCAAGTAGGATTTGGTAACACGGTTGCAATTGTGGAAGCTATCTGTGCTGGCTCATGCTGACTCTCCCTTTTACAAAGTAATCACTTTGAAGACAAATGAAGGACTTAGAAATCGGGCTGCTTTCTTTGTGTTATTTCTAAGATCAAGCATTCCTCGAATTTTTCAAATGGTCTTGCTTTGGTATACAGACAGAATTTTTGAAATCGGTTTTTGTTTTGGGAGAACAAATTTATGAAATTGTGTATCGCTGCACGGACATATTTTAGTGGGTGAAAAATTGTGTTATGATAAATGGGAAACATACAGTTTTGTGCCTTTTTTACCTTGTGCCTTTTCTCTGTGTTTTGTCTTCTGAAATAGATAGTTTAGAACTTTGCATTGCAAATAGAGTGCAAGCAAGTGACCTTTGCAAAGTGTTTCTGTGTACAAAGTCTCTGGCATAAGTCTTTAATTTAGGGAAGAGAGACTAGAAAACAGAATTCTCACTTCATTCTGTGCTAAGAATCGAAGAACATTGTCTTATTTCTGCAACTCTTAAACGGGATATTTAACACTTCCTTAAAAATAAAAATAGCCCTGGCCGGTTTGGCTCAGTGGTTAGAACGTCAGCCCACGGACCAAAGAGTCCCGGGTTCGGTTCCCACTAGGAGCATGTACCTCGGTTGCAGTTTGTCCCCGGCCCTGGTTGGAGTCGTGTGGGTGTCAACCACTCGATGTGTCTCTCTCACATCGATGTCTCTCTCTCTCTTCCTCCCTCTCTCCCTCCGCTCTATCTGAATATAAATGCAAAAAATAAAATAAAAAATAAAAAAAAATAAATAAATATGTGGTGATATTCTCAGAGGAGAAACCAGAATATGTATGTAGCAGTACCTATAACCCTTTGTTGGTAAAAAGAAAAGAGAATAAGTCAGAAATGCATTAATTCTTTCAGGTCTGTTGACATCAAAATGGACTTGGGAGTTGAAAGATTTAATGTCACTTCTTAGCAGGGAACAGGTTGTTGGGTCACTAATGTGAATGCTTATACTTCAGTAGCACAAGAGCATGGTCTGATTTCCCCATTGACTTCCACTGTACAACTAGAGCGGTGTTCCCATGGAAAATAAATCTGGCCCCAGGTTATAATAAAACACTGAAAATTTCAGAAACTCTTATCAAATCAAGGATTTCAAGACACAAGTAGCAGTACCTGATAAAATAATACAGGCACAAAATATTAAAACACTGTAGCAGATCTTAAAATAGCATGCCCCCAAACCATGTTCTTCTTTTACTATTCCATCCAAGTCTATTTCCTTTCCATTTACAGACATTTTGCATCTATTATCACTACTGATTTTCTTTTTAAACATTTTTTTTCCTTTATTGATTTTTTAGAGGGAGAGGAAGAGAGAGGGAGGGAGAGATAGAAACACCGATGAGAGAGAACATGGATTGGCCGCCTCCTGCATGCCCCCCACTGGGGATCGGGCCCACAACCTGGGCGTGTGCCCTGACCGGGAATCGAACCGGCGACCTCCTGATGCGTGGGTCGACGCTCAACCACTGAGCCACACCGGCTGGACTCACTACTGATTTTTAATGGATTTAACTGGAATTTTAGGCGGATTTGGTTGCCTATATTCTGCATGGTGAGCCTGCTTACCTTTCTCCGAAGCATTCTTACCAATTAACATTCTAAGATCATTAGCCATAGAAGCAAGACCAGAAGGAAATACTTTGAAATGTTCACAATACTTGCTTCTGTGTTGTTGAAATTTTGTTTACTTACTTCTGTTTTTAGATTTCTAAGTTCCCTAAAGAAATAGTTTTCTATAAATATATCTTCCATAGTCAGGAAAAAAATAGTATAATTTCTTTTGGAAGTTTACATTTAGATATAATGAGATACCTTTCGTTTGACACATTTAAAAATATGGTGTATTTTATGCTTCGATAGTGGTGATGGTTATCGCTTTTCGATACAATTTGTACAACAGTGATGTAATTAATTTGTGGATAAGTAGCTTTTCTGAAGCATAGTACTCAGAGTGTAATCCTGGACTGGCAGCTTCAGCATCACCTGGGAACTCGTTAGAGATTATAATGCTCAGGCCCCTGGGCTCAGGCTCAGCAAACAGCAATCTGGGTTTTAATAAGCCCTTGGAGTGGTTAAGGTTACAGAACGACAGCAGAATGTCTCTCTCACTTTCTCTCCTCTCTCCCTCGCTCCCTCTCCCTCTCCCTTCCCCTCCTCATGAGGGTTACTCACACACACTCACACACACACTCTCACACACACACTCACACACACACACGCTCACACACTGATATATTACAGAACCCATTTGGAGAATTCACAGTAACCTCTCCACCTGTATGGAAAGTGTGTATTAAAAAAGGAGAATATACACTTTTGTCTAAGTGTTTTCTTGGTGTTTATCTCTACTGTACCTTGTTCATAAAAAAGATATAAGGTAGTTTGGGGGTATTTATACTTACATGTTTTGATTTAGCAGACATGTTTTGCACGGGTATACATGAAATACTTCTGCCTAATTTATAGATTTTCAAAACTCACTAGCTAATTTAATGACACCAGCAAGTTGGGATGGACTGAATTGTGTCTGTCCAGAAATCGTAGGTTGAAGCCCTAACCTCCAGAACTTCTGAAGGTGACTAGTTGGAGATGGAGCCGGTAAAGAGGTAATTAGGTTCAAATGAGGTTACAAGGGTGGGCCCTAATCCAGTGTGACTGGTGTCCTCATAAGAGATTAGGACCCAGACAATGCAGAGGGACCACCGTGTGAGGACCCAGCCAGAAGGTCGCCATCGACAAGAAGAAACCAAGCTTGACAACACTTTGATATTGGTGGAATGTCCAGCCTCCAGAACTGTGAGAAAATAAATGTCTGTCATTTCAGCTGTCCAGTTTGGGGCATGTTGTCATGGCAACCCTCGCAAAGGAACACAAGTATTTTGAGAAATGGTGGGATAATTAGATCTTAACGTGCAACGATTGTCTTTGAGGTACCATCGGATCATGTTCCTTAACAGAAAGCCACAGCTTCACAAAGAGTGCCAGAGAGCAGTATGACAAGCTGTCCACCATGCACAGCAACATGGTGAAGCTCTATGACACTCTTGGAGACTACTTCATTTTTGACTCGAAGACAGTGAGCATCGAGGAGTTTTTCGGCGATCTCAACAACTTCCGAACGTTGTTTCTGGTGAGTCCTACATCTTCGCACACTGCAGAGTCTGCTGCCTTTGTTTTCAGATCCTTTTCTTCCATTTGGTATTTTGTATAACGATTGACCATACTGATTTTATGTTATAGCCCTTTAACACGCACTGACAGATATTTTATACCTGCGACATGAGTGACAGTGCTTGGCTGGCTTAATGTATAATGGAGATCTGAAAGAATTCTCTTCAACTTTAGCTATACACGGGGATTTTTCTCCTGAAATTTTACAGAAAATAAATGAACTGGCACTTAAATGATCATGATTTTTACAGCGCCTAATACTAAAATTTGACCTAGCTAAAAATTCTTATCTAAAAGAATCTTTCACTTACTACATTAAAATGCTGTGATTAATGAACAAGTTTCTTTCATAGTCTGGATGAGAAACTGATCTCAAATTGGACTCTAAATGACCGTGAATACCTAAGGTTTCCTCTGGAATGTGGGCTCTTGCTTCCAGCTGTAACTCTTGGGGATAACAGCAGATATTAGCGTTAATTGGAGGGGGGCAATCAGGGTGCCAGTTGCGATCCTAGAGGGTAAACCGAAGCTTTGCGGGGTAAATGCAGTGGAACTACTCTGGGTCCAGCCGAGGAGCAGAAGAACCCAGACCCTGGTGCTGAGAGTACAGAAAGCTATGCACGGGAGTTGATATCAAACAGGTCAAGGTCCATCTATTTTAAAGAAAGAATTCTAGCAATTATCCCCAGCAGGAAGACCAATTAGCAAACTAATTATTGCAGTTCAAGGTAGGTTTCTAGCTCCAAAGCAGTTATTTGCTAAATAAGGCTCCGTCTCTTAATTGATGGTGTTGCCCCGTGAAATCATTTGATTTTGGCGTGACTTGCACAGCCTGCGAGGTACCAGTGTGTTTGTGGAAAGCATCTGCTTCCATCTGCTGCCTTAGGACCGAGGACCCAGCGCTCACCCCGCCTTTGGTAACGGAAGCTAACCCCAAAGCTTTTATAAATATGATCATTTGTCTTCTTTTTTTGCTAAGAGTATTGGCTTATTTTGGCCCTTGGTCTTTGCCCCTTAATAGACATATTTTTAACTTTGTAGCTGGCCAGTAAGTACTAAAAGGTGTTCTACTGGTCATGAGTGGTCAGACTATTTTCAAAACTTAAAAGTCACAAATATGCCCTGGCTGGTTTGGCTCAGCGGTTAGAGTGTCGGCCTGTGGTCCAGAGAGACGTGGGTTCGGTTCCCACTAAGGGCAAGTACCTCGGTTGCAGTTTGTCCCCGGCCCAGTTGGGATCGTGTGGGTGGCAACCAGTTGATCTCTCTCTCTCACATTGATGTTTCTCTCTCTCTCTTCCTCCGTCTCTCCCTCCTGCTCTATCTGAACATAAATGCAAAAAGAAAAGTCCTCGGGTGAGGATAAAAAAAAAAGTCACAAATAGGATATGAGCATAGGAACACCCAGGTCATATCTACTTAGATTATTTTCAAAAAGAAAAACAAAGCATGTTGCAAAGGAATGGGGACTAGAAAGGACACTTCAGTTGACCCACTGAAAATATAAATTCAGTGGATTAATTTTGTAACAGTGTCTATGGGTGAATGGAGAGAAATAAATATAACTAATATTGTCAAGTGCCTTGTTTTAACATAGATTGGCTCTTAAAACCCTGTCTGTAGCCCTGGCCGGTTTGGCTCAGCGGTTAGAGCGTCGGCCTGCGGTCCGGAGAGTCCAGGGTTCGGTTCCCGCTAAGGGCACGTACCTCGGTTGCAGTTTGTCCCCGGCCCTGGTTGGTCGTGCGGGTGGCAGCCACTCGATGTGTCCCTTCATGTCGATGTTTCTCTCTCTCTCTCCCACTCTATCTGTACAAAAAAATGGAAAAATATCCTCGGGTGAGGATAAAAAAAACCAAAAAACCCTGTCTGTGTACACGCCCCCGCCCCCCACCTTGCCCCTCCCAGTACACAGACACAAAGTGGAATTTGCTGTACTTCTCTCTGTGTGCAGCATTTGATGAAGGACAGTATCTGTCCCACAGCCCGTGTTTGGTCCTGTTAGCCAGAGGCTTAAAAGACTTGCTAAGAATTATAGTTGTACTTCTCAGTCCTAACTTGTTCAAAAACTGTAAGGGTATCATTGTTAAGAAGACCTGCCCTGGCCAGTTTGGCTCAGTGGTTAGAGCGTCGGCCTGCAGTCCAGAGAGACCCGGGTTCGGTTCCCGCTAAGGACACACACCTCGGTTGCAGTTTGTCCCTGGCCCTGGTTGGTCGTGCGGGTGGCAGCCACTCGATGTGTCCCTTTCACGTCGATGTTTCTCTCTCTCTCTCTTCCTCTCTCTCCCTTCCGCTCTATCTGAACAAAAAATGGAAAAAAATGTCCTCGGGTGAGGATTAAAAAAAAAAAAAAAAAGAAGACCTGATTTTGGGTCCTTATGCTATAATTAACAAGCTATGTGAGTGCAGGTAAGTCATTTATCCTTTCTGGCCATTTGTTTATTTATCTGTGTATTCCTACATTCATTTAGTAAAGTGAAGGGATTATAGTAGTGATCTATAAGACCTTATTCGTCTTTAGCCTTGTAAGAGTCATGGTCTGAATTTCAGAAAGAGAATCAAGTATGTAGCTTGACTTCCCACGTAGCTTAAGTACAGGGCGGTAACGTCGCAAATCGTTCTCATTGTAAATAAGTTGATGTTCTGAAGTCCAGTTCTGTGTGCATTTAACTTCTTGAGAACCTGCTCAGATTGAGTTTGGAGCGTTCAAAACAGGTCAGCAGCTCCTACCCTGTGTCCTGGCCAGGCATTGACATCTCTCTGACGGAACAGCACCACTTCCAATTCTAGAATCTTTATTGTCTGGCTCCCGTAAGAACTAGGCTTGAAACTAACTAGCTGTTCAGAACTTGGTTTGGTCACGTAACCTCTCTGGGGATCGGTTTCCTCGTGTACAAAATAGGGATGACAGTTCCTGCCGTGTCTTCACCACTAGGTGAAAGTACCATGTAACCCACGCTATGCAGATGAAGAGTATTATTGGCCATTCTCTGTCCATCCATTTGATTATTATGAAAGAGAACCAGCTTGATTTTGGTAATGCTTTAGTCTAGAGATAAAAGGAAGAGAACAGCCCTGGCCGGTTTGGCTCAGCGGTTAGAGCGTCGGCCTGTGGTCCAGAGAGACCCGGGTTCGGTTCCCGTTAAGGGCACGTACCTCGGTTGCAATTTCTCCCCGGCCCTGGTTGGGTCGTGTGGGTGGCGGCCAGTCGATGTGTCTCTCTCACGTCAATGTTTTTCTCTCTCTCTTCCTCCCTTTCTCCCTCCTTCTCTATCTGAAGATAAATACAAAAATGTCCTCAGGTGAGAATAAAAAAAAAAAAAAGGAAGAGAACAGTCTCTCTATATACATAAGTAGAGGGAGACAGACAAGTGAATACAATCTAACTTGATAAGCGCTGCCGTGGCTGGTGCTATAATAATGCAGAGGGGACCTGCCTGAGCTGGCCTTCATTGAGAAAGTGACATTTAGGCCGAGTCTGGAAAAATCCATAGGAGTTTGACAGGCAGACTTTGACAAACAGATTTAAGGGTTTTACACCTGACCTATAAGCTGAACACTCCTAAATCAACATCACCAACTTCAGTCAATCATCCGTGCCCACCATGTTCCTGTTTCGCAGTGAGCTGAAAGTGATTTCGCTCTCCCAGGGGAGGGAAGGACCCCGAAAGGGAGACAAAACTCGTAATCGCCAGAAGTTCCCATTTTCTTCGCGCTTTGTGTGTTTGGCCTCAGGGGTCTTAGTGCTAAAAGCATATCGGACTGGAGACGGAAGCCGTAAAATGCCCGTAGTGCTGAGAAGAAAATAAGGGTTCTGATTCATGCGCTACCAAAATTGACTTCCACATAAGCTCCAGGTTTCACTTGGGGAGAGGTCTGGCATGCATGGCGAAAACAACATGCACAAACCAAAAAAATCTTCCTCAAAGAGATAGAGAGGAGGGGGCATTATGGATTAAGACCCTTTTCAAAATAATCACATTCCAATTAATGAAAGCAAAATGGAGTAATCTCCATGAGATGCTGCTCTATTAATTATTCATATCATTAATATTATCCAGCTAATGAGGATATGAAAGACACTCAAGATGAATGTCCTATATTTTGGCACGAAGATATATGTAATTGGAAACATTTCTGAATGCAGAATGAAGGCTCTCTTTCCAGTCAGCTTCTCTGAGCTCATCGGAGTTTAAAAAATGCTTCTAGTAGAGGCAAGAGTAATTAATAATCCCTAAGTTTAGACTGAATATTTTGTGGAGGAGAATAAAATTCCATATTTGAGTAATGTCTAAACATCTTCTTTGCTATTCTTCCGTATGCTTCGGCCATTCGCCTAGTTCAAATAGTTGACTGCACAGCCTTTCTTCTTTTGAGAGATTTTGAATAGAATATTCAAAGTCAGTGAACCTTATATGTTTTGCCACCGCGCAGTATCTTGCTTAGGCATAAAAATTAATTTCAGCTGTTGGGGAAGTGTTCGAGGCAAGTATTATACTTTAATAACTTTCATAGCTCCAAATAAATTATAGAAAATCACTTTTTTTTTTTTTCCCTGTTTTAAATCCATCAGTTTCCTGCTGCTTCTGTGTGTGCGCGTTTTGTTTTGTAAAGAACAATATGCTACCTAGGTACTCAGTAAATATTTGTTGTGTGCATATTATTCTGCAGCTCACACACTGGAAATACAGGAGCAAGGCTTTGCAGAATTAGATTCATTGACATAACTTAAGAAGAAAATGTTGCCATTACTAGTAATCATGCCAGAAGATTTCCCCTCCACAAAGGAAGCATTTGCTACCGTTCATTTGATAAACTGGAATATTTTTTAATCGGAACTTGAACAATTTTTGAACTGCTCTTAGAGGAGCATTAAAATGGCTATTAGGAGGCTAAGTGATGTCTGGAAATCATCGCGTTTTCTGCCACGGTTCAGCCTTTTTGCTCCTGCCTCCGAAATACCGT